AAGTTTGATTTATGGCTTCGGATCGGAGATTTGTAGATGCGAGCACAAACAAAATAAAAATCACTCGTACATTTAAAATTGGATTTAAAACAAGAATAAAAGCAAACTACGGAAGACAGAAATATATTTACCACAGACTCTTACAAAAACAAATATTTTACAAAACGACTATATTTCAGTTATAGTAAATTAGTTATCTAGTAAATTAAATAAGAAAACCCTATTACTTGTCAAATAAGATTAAAAAACAGTGTACACCTACTTTAGAACAACTCAAAAAAATCGCACTTTAATAAGATAATAAAAAGAGACCAGGAGCAGATGGAGTAGCGTAATAGGAAAAAAACAGAACCAAGATGAAATTGCATTATGTCGATTTTGTGGATTTTCTTATGCAAAGAGTAAAAAGCAGGGGGAAAAATGACGAAAAAATGGAATAGAAGAGGAAGCTCGAATGGCTGCAAGTGACTCAAAAAAGTGCCTCAAGATGTGGCAACATCGGTCCAGCACAGCAGTTACTTTGCATCTTTTAAGCACTGCTTCTCGGACGGGACACAAGGATAGAAAAAGCGAAGCCGGTGGAAAAATTGAAGGTAAGGGGATAAAGAAGTTTTCATTGGATTCGGCTTCGGGCTGATGATGCTGAAGCAGCTCCAGGTATCCTCATCCTTGTTATCCAGGCTCATAAAAATCATTCATTTGCGAAAAACCAAATTGCCAAGCCGAAAGCCAAGAACTGAAGTGAATTGATAAGGATTTTTATGAAAGTTTGGAGATGCTCCGAGAAGTTTAGAAATGTGATATATAATGGTGTATTCGAAAGCTTAAAATAAGCATTATTCACTTGATAAAATAATACGATCTTTCTCAAAAAAATTCTTTACAAATTTATTTAATTTTTTTTTGTTTGTTTCTTTTGATTTATGGCCTGTTGATATGGAGTCTAATAAAAAAGTCATAAAAATGTCCAATAATTCTACTGAAGCTTATGAATTTTGTCAGAAGATTCGAACATTTTATTGGAAAACCTTTGACATTGATTTAATCAGGGGAAATAATAATTATAAAATTGGGAACGAATTTTAATGGATCTTTGTTTTGTAAGAGTAGACAAGGGAAATATTAATTTTCTTGATTCTAAGAGCTAATCTAAAAGCCTGCCTAACCCACGAAACTTCAACTGAAAATAACTTTTCGTTGGCCTCTTCCCCATGTCCTTGCTTTTTAATTTGCCAACCCTAGCCGTGAATTAACCACCCACTCACCCACCCACAAACCACAAAATTTCCCCCTTGGGCTTATCCGCCTTAAATTTGTGTTTATCTGGGCACACGACTCGATTAATTTCTGGAGGTGGGTGAAGGAGCCAAGGCAAAGACGTCGGGGCGTGTTTTTAATTGCCAAGGACAATTAAAAACAATTTTGCAGGCACAAAAGAGTTGGCAATAAATTTAATTGGCCCGCTGCCGTTACGCCCATTGATTATTTTCGGTGTGGGCGTGGCACCGAGCACTTTCACACCTAGTGACAAGGTGTCCAGGGCTGCCACACACACAGCCCAAGGAAATTGGTGGATGGTATTGGCTGGTTGGCTTTTCCGATGGAATGGGGCGGCAATTTATGCGGCTGTCAGTTGCAGGGGCAGCTTGGATTTTTATTGGCACCCGGCACGCAGCCAGAACTCGTTCAGCTTCCTCCCAAGTAATTGCATCGAGCACATAAATCAATTGCATTTTCATGCGACAAGTTTGGCCAACCCTCGATTGTCTGCAAGTGAAGTGAAAGCCAAAAGTAGTTTTCCTCCGGGCCTGTCTCTCATCTTTTTAGCTTGCCCCTCGAGCGTGGCGTAATCAATTGAAATTGCATGCAATGCGTCACTCGCAGAGCTAACCCCGAAAAGTTAAATTCCAAGACTGAGTCCAAAGACGAAGTCAACCCCCTGAAAAGTAAGGAGTATTTTCATTTTCCCCCTTTTATCAGCGCACGTAGAAAGATTATCGGCAACTTCGTTTATGGCTTATCAAATTAAATGATTAATGTTTCCCTATGTTTCCTTTTTTCTCTGACATCGCTCGTTCCTTGAAAATGTCATCAGCAGTTTTCATTTCGGTTTTTCCTATTTTATTTTCTTGCCGGAGTTCAAATGGTTTTCGTGTTGCGGTTGTCGGTGTGGTTTAAGTTTTGTTCAACATTTTATTGACAAAGTTTTGATTGTAGCACGACCTTTATGCTTAGCTGATTTGTGGCTGGGAGAATTGTTTTGAAGCGCTTAGTGTCAATAAGATCCGAGGAATTAAAACTAACCAGTGGATTTGTTTTTATGGGAAATTCAATTGAGTTTGAGGCTCCAGAGAGCAAAGTTGGCAAATACCTCAAACTAATTTATTTATCCAACTCCATATGGGGTTCAACAAGCTAATGTGAATTATCAGAAGATGTTATTGATTTTACTTTATTGAAATTGGTTTGTATTTGTTATATAAACCTAATTGACTTCCCCATAATTAACGCATCGTTTCACATAGGTTCCACAGAAACACAAATTTAGGGTCTTAACTAATGGATATGTTAAGTATGTGAAGTATATATTTAAAGTTAAGTAATTTCCTTTACCATATGGCTGAAATTTAAGTTTAATATGTTTCACAAAGGATCGACTAAAAAAGGTTCACCCACCGAAATCGTCCAACTGCTCAATAATTGTTGTAAAAGGTATAAAATATTTTCACGATTTTTTATGGTGTGAAATATGCATACGTTTAGTTCCTTTATATATCATTTATTGAATATGCGCTAATATGATGGTTTGAAGGATAAATTGAATGCCCTTTGAAAGGCTTGTCATGTTTCAATCATGGTTTCACTTGATTCTGCGCCATTCGTAAAAATTCTCAAAATTCCATCAGGAAAAGTTTTCATCATCCACAGAGCTTATGATCCACATAACACACATCACATTAATCAGTCAGGACAGTGGGACTGACGGACAGACAAATACGCACTGGAAAGTATAACTCATCAGGGCACAAATTACAAAGACAAACGATGACTGACAACCGCAAGGTTTTTTTTTTTTTGGCTCACAAGTGGCGAGTGGTGGCGGAAAAGCGGAAAGGGCAGCGCGGTTGGGGTCACCACTTAGCACCCACAATCCACAGGGCTGCAGCTGAAAAGATGGAGCCAGGGCCTGGGCCATCAGCGTTTTTGTTAATTAAACAAATGCCGCAGTGACATGTGCACATCACGAGAGATGTGATGACTTTGCCGGGGCTTTGGTTTGGTTTGGGCCCCTGCGGTTTATGCATCTGCATTCGTGATATAGGGTCGGAATGTCGGGAGGCTGGGTGGTTATATGGGTGGCTCGGTCGTTGGGTGGTGCCGGATCTACTGCTGAATACCCACTGACAATTCCGCTTGACAAAAGCGCACACAAATAACGGGGGAAAACAGGCGACATCGCTGACAATGGCTCCGCATGCAATTTAATTTATTTCAATTGCAACAGAATTATTACGACAGACGACAAAGTGCCGTCGCAGAGCAATTTGCCCAGCATCCCTTGGCGCCCCTCACCATTGGCCCCCCATCCCTCTCTGTTCCACAAAACCCAGCTTCTTTATCGCTTTTTTAGGAAACTGTTAATAAACAAATTCATGTGCGAAGAAAGTAACCGCAGCGAGCGTCGATTTCAATTAAACAGACGCGTGGCTCCCGTTGCCCCCTCAAGCTGATAATGACCGCAGTGGCGGCGGCGGAGGGGGTTTAATGGAGGGGTCTTGGAACTCCGAACGCCAAAAACTTGCCCAGCTCAGTGGTCAGGAAGCATAATAACTTTATTGCTTAGGGAACGCACAATGGTCGGAAACCGAACCAATGAGAAAAACAAAATATGCAGTCTTATGATAATATAACTATTCTATGAACCTGTGCCGACCAAATTACGGGAAATATTTTTTTAGTTTAAAATCCAAAACTAAAAAAATATATTCAAAAGTTTTTAGTGATTTTGACAGTCTTAAATAAATACATGTTGACGTACTATAATCAATTGTTATAAATCCTAAATATAACCTAAATGTTTTATTTATTAAATTAAATATTTAGTCGGCATAACAAGAATATGTACTTTTTATCATTGATGATTAATGATTTTTTTCAATCGGCATAAAGAAATTGCGTGAATATCGATTAAGAAATCAATGTTGATGGTTGTAAGATTTTATTAATGGTAATTATATTTAAAGTAACCCCTGCTACAATCTGTCGTGATCAACTCCATTGTAATGAAACGCAGTGTAAAGTCCCTGTTCAAGACACCCAATTCCCGGCTGCAATTTCGCAATTCCGCAATTTCGACCCATCGTGGGTGGTTTGGAGCATTCAGTTTCGCCACTGTTGATTTCGTTGTTGTTTTTGTTGTTGTTGCGGCAACAAAACACTTTTATATTTGCTGTTGTTATTGCAGTTTTTGTTGTTGTTTGGCTTGGCCAGTTTCAAGTGTAAATTAATTTATGAGGCACGCCATGGAGCCGGCGCCAGGCTGCGGTCACAGACACCCCCTTTTACCCGCCCATGGAGCGATGGGAGAGGGACATGGAGAAGGGGGGGAAATGTCAGGCAGAGTGTGAAATTTCATATTTGAATACTCGCCAAAACGTTGACAAATGAAGTCTGCATAATTGGCTAACATTTGGTCATGGAATCGGAGAGCCTTTGCGAATATGAATACACTTAATAAAATTATTAAACCGAAAGTAAAGGTGGTTTAGACTTAATAAATTGACATTTATTTATTTCGATTTTATGTCAACTAAAAGTATGTTTTTTAGTGTTCAATTCAAATGATTCAGAACCTCTTTTTTGGAAAACTTCAAGTAAAACGTTTCTAAGAGGTCAAAACATTTTTATATAAAAAATATGGAGACTTAAAATTTTGGGAAATCCCATTTTTCTGAGTGTATGTATAAAAATCGTGTACAATTTAAGTTGATTTTACTCACCTTTCAGTGTGCCGATGAAAAACAGAGCGGCCAGCAAATTGAGTGGGCCAAACATGATGGTTGTTGGTTTCTGTCTGATTTTTGTTTCCAATGGCTTCCTGATCGGTTTGATAACTGCAATGGAAGAAGTTAACAAATAAATATGTAAATAATTATTTATTGCTCTAGACACGCCCGTGAGTCAGTCACTATAAGCGACAGAACAGACGATAGCAATTTGTTTGCTTGTTTGGCCGCACATAATAGAGACATTTTTGGAAAGAGGGTGTGTGTGGTGCGGTGAGCCCAGCCCGGGAAAACAATAGCATTGGCAAGTGCCACGGGCGGAAGAACGCCAGCTGTCACCTGTGATCTGTTACCTGTAACCTGTTACCAGTCACCGGTTCGCTGTCATCATTCAAATGCCGTTTTCCAAAGGGGGCGTGCCACAAATTGCCGATTGACACGGCACCTGACGGTAATCAAAACTACACAAGCACTTTTGGGGGCCACCCTTTAATTCATTTCCCCCCTGCCCTTGGCAATTAAGCCTGGTTTTGTGTTTTGGGCCTGCTAAATTTTCATTACTGTGGCCATTGTCTGACCCTGGAACAGGGGGAATTTGAATTTGAACTCGATTTGGAGCCATGGGTAAAACTAAGCCCACCTTTTTCCCCCTCAATCGTTCAATGATTGTCATCGTAGGTGTGACTAATTGTTGGTCATTTATCTTCTTTGCTTTCTTCTCGAATTTGATTTTTTCTGTGTCCCTCTCTCTCTCTGGCTTTTTTGTTTTTCGGTTTTCCATGGAAGTCATGAATAATTTCCGTTCTAAATGGAAAGGCTAGGCTTTCCCTTTTCTCCCCCTTTTTCTCTCTCCTCGGGTGTCTCTAATTGATAGATAATTGAAGGTCTCGGTGGGGAAAGGGGAGTATTGATCAATTGGCTGTAGATGGGACAGCAGATGATAAATGAATCCCCCTGATTGACTGGGGGATTAGTTGGGGATAAACTTGATCATGAATGGAAATTCTTTGGCTGGGCAGTCAAATGATGTCACCACGGCAACGGTTGTTTAAACTTCTCCTAGAAGATTTCCTGGAAGTTTTGCATTCTTTACTCATTTAATTAAAATTGAAAAGGCTTTAATAGTCCATGTCTTTGCTTAAATTGTTAATTTGGTTTTTTATACATTTGGTTTTTTGTATAATTTTATTATTATTTGTATTTGATATTTATTCATGTGTTTCTAGCAGCTACCATAATTATTCATTTTTATTTCATTGAAATCCATCAGAAACAAGCGTCAATTTATACAAAAAATTTATTATCTTCAATCTAGTTCTAAACTATTTTTGATTACGGCCTAATGATATTTTATAGATTTTGGCAATACATTTATTGAATTTAAAGTCAGTTCTTTTAAGCTGAACATTTTACAGCCACTCAAATTCAACAAATAATAAATATTTATAAAATTTATGCAGACAGGCTCTGTATCTTCAATTGTGATAGAAATTCGTGGCAATGTGTCATGCCAAATAAAAAGAAATATGAGAAATCTCTGACACGAAGTTTTATATATATAAATCTCATGTGGGTCACTAAAACTTTTTGATTGACAAATGCAAAAGACATTTATGGTGCGGATAGAATAAAATCAAATAAATTAGAGCCTCGAATGACTGTCAGAAAGTGTTCGCATGCAGATGTAAGTTTGGGCAATTCCACTGAGCTAAACTCCAACTAGACTGTGACTATATTCCGACTATAATGTGACTTGCATATCCGTGTATCTTTTGTGTCCTTGTATCTGTTCCCCCATCCGTTTGCTTTGTATCTGTTCGCTGGCACCGTAAACAAGTCAACAAGGACCGACTGCCAGGGGCAACAACGCCCCCCTTCCACCCACCCCTCTTTTGCAGGTGGATTTCCCGGCCCCCGCGACAGGTGCACAAAACGGAGCCCTTACATCGTCACACACGACTCATTTTCCTTTCGCTCTCCGCTCCTTTTTTTTCGGTTGCCGGCAAACTAATTTCAAAGCAAATGCGATACTGTCGCAAGTGACTGAGACGACTCCCCAGCCTGTTGTTGGGTTTCCTCCGCTGGTTCAGATGGTTCAGGTGGTTCAGGTGGCTCAGGCTGGGAGTGCTGCTCGTATGTCACCCTGTCAACGATACCCTAACTCAGGTGAATCCTTAGTGACCTCAAAAGTGTTGGTAAGAGTAGAGGTTAGGTAGGTTTATTTATCGGTGGTTTCCTTTTCGTTTTTATTCAAATAATTTGAAACTAATCTTTCAAAAATATTCTTTGATATATTTAAATATTTAGATCATAGTTTAATTGCAGTATTATTTTGATTTAATTCAAATTTATATATTCGCGAGCTGCTGAAATCAATAAATAATGTAATATACATTACTATATCACACTGTGTATCTTATTTAAGAAATATAAATATACACAAAGCATTTTTTTAAATTTTTTCTTTTCTCTTTATTTTATTCTTTTCTTGCTGTGCATTACTACCACGGTTTTATCTAAGCAAACAGATCTTTAACCTTGCGACACACACATGCGTTTTTTCGGAATCTTCATTTGCATAATTCTGTCGTTAAGTGGCGGAAAAGTGTAATCGAATGAACGAGTAGATAGTAGAGCCCCGAGGAATCAAATCCCACAACTGTACTAACCATCAGTAATTAGATTTGCAGGCAAAAAATTAAATTGAAATTTAAAATCAATGGGAAAGTCAGCTTAAAGCCAGCCAAAACTCAGAAAGTGTATTTTTCATTTTGACAATGGGCCATTATAGTCCAAAGTCTGAATAAGACAAAGGAAAAATCCCTACAAGTGAAGGAATACTATAATAGAATGATACTCGAAAAACTTTCGATTTTGCCATTCTGTTTCATTGGGTTTCTAATTGTTTTGAGACCCTGGCAAGTGAAATGTGTGAAAATTCTGTGGGGAATGAAATGTTACTATGGTCTCTACCTCAATGCCTCTTTGCCCTTGGCTATGGAAAATGAAAAGTTATCAATTACCGATCCTTTTTGAGTGATTGACTTTCCCAATTCCCGCCCCTTTTTCGAATGAAAGTCTAGCATATGCCAAAAAATGTTTTGTTTTTCGGTTTTCCCCCCACCATTGTACATTCTCCGAGCTTCTTTAGCTCAGGTTACAATTTCATGGCCCGGAGCATTTTGAGGTAATTGAATTTTGGTTTTTGGCCAAGCAGCTGATGAGTTGGGCATAACTGATGTAGCAAAAATTTTCTAATTACGTGACGGAAAAATGCACAGAATTTCGGTAGGTGCGATCCGGAATATGCTTCGGATAATAAACTATACCTACTCAAAACTAATAATTTATAATTAGCTTTATTTAAATTTTTAATTGATATAACACAATGGTTAAACGAATTATCTTTAAATATTCTCAATTTTGAATAATGCATTGGTAATCATTGAGCAAATCACTTTCCTTCTATTAAGTTTCATTTAAGACTCACACCATCAGATAATGAAAATTAACCCATAACAGCAGCACTTAATTCGATTCACCCACTGAACCACTTGAACTGATTGAAGGCAGATCAAATTGCCCAAATAAAAACCAACAAAATTACGATGATGGGACTTAATTAATAAGTCTGAACAATAAATAACAAAGACATATATATTTCTAAAGATAAATTTAGAAGAGCAGAAATACCATTGCGAGACCAAATAAAGAGGAATGTGTTTTTTTAGAATTTATTACGGTTGTGTGGGAGGGCCACTTGCCGCGTTGCCAAATCGATTTCAAAACTTCATAAACAACCCGGGCGAAGAATCTTCCCTTTGGCAACATTTGAGAAATCTCCGTTCGACCAATAAACTGGGAACAACAAAAACAGCAACGAAATGAATTGAAATTTATAAACAACAAAATGCAGCAGTTTGTGCGCTTTAATTTGTTTATTTTGTGCTAAAGAGCAACACGCATCGAGTGCCATAAAAAATCAACAGGCAGCATAAAAAGCCGAATGGCAGGGGTAAACTTACAGAATTTATAAACTGTGCAAACTCTGGCCGAGAGGCAGCCATAAAAAAGGCAAAAACTGAGGCGAAAGGGAATATTTATGCAAACGTCAATTGGGCTGCAATTGAATTGAGCCACGAGGCATGAGGAATGAAACATGAGGCATGCGGCACGTACTTTCAGATGCCCCATCGAAAGGCGGCATCTCCGCAGAATACTCTTTGCGAAAGTGCTGTTCTGGTCAAACAGTATTTAATATTCAGTATCTAGTTATATTCAACGTTTTAAAAATATCTCTGTATCCATTTATTTATTTCTTTTAATAACACTTTCGCTCTTTTTAAACATATTCGCTTGCAAAAAATTCTAATTTGCTGTTTATATATTTTATTTAGCCTGACACAATTTTAGATTAAAAGGATAATTCGCAAATCAAATTATTTTGTATAATTATTATTCATCAGGTCAGTGGATAACCAATTGCATCAGATATTTACAAAGTTTGATATCTGAAAAAGTCAATTTTAATTTACTGATTATTTCCAAACCAGGGCATTTCCAATTCGTTCGATGAGTTTTCATTTGTATCTTTTATTAGGCGCCCCTTCCGCAGCCCGCCCAAATTGATATACAAGTCAGACAACGTGACGTATGAGTGATGATGCGTGTGAGCCCCCTTTTCGAGCCCCTCCCCCTTTAGCCGCCCACCGTGTAAACATTCAATTCGATGGTAGCAGCATATGATTGCCATATTTGCCATAGCGCCAGTTCCGAAAAGTGTTCGATAAATGGGAAATTAGGTTGCAATGACGCCGGCGCCAATTCGAAAAAAAGGAGGAACAAACGGAAAAGCGAAAAGAGTTTCCACTGGCTTGTTTATGCCCGTAGCAGCCACTTGAGGCAGTTGAAAAACCCCCCCCTCTCCACCTATGGCCAGCGTTTGATTGACTGACGAGCGAACGAGTTGAATGATTGCCTGCTGTACATATTGATTTGCATCTAGTGGATCGCCCATTTGCCGTAATTTGCTTTACACAATGCCATAATTTATTTGATTGATATGCCATATATGAGCAAAGTGTATATATGTCAACTGTATATATACATCGCATGAATTTTAAAATTATTTGCCATGGCTTCTCGCCATTTGTTTGCCGCTAATTTGACTGTCAATCAATCGGTGAATGCAAAAGTTTTTTCTGGGCCATATAAATATTTTTCGCTTGTAAATTCGCCATATATAAATATACAAATTCCCCATTTGTTCAATACAACTCGCTGACGTCCAATGTTTGATTTAATGTATGCATATTTATTGGGATTTAAAAGCAATATTGTTGCTCGGAATAAAACAAATTTCACTTTTATTTTTTTTTGCTTTTCGTTACATGAAATGGATACCTTTGTTTTAGATATTGTTTACCCATAAAAAATTCACTGACATTGTAATTTTTCAGCCCGGCTTTATGTGAAATATTTTTGTAAGTAACGTAAATACATTGGCGGTATATATTTAATGAACCAATGTGTTAAAAGAATGTTGACTTTAGCTTTTTAAAAATAAAGCATTTTTTTGTTGTTTTAATTTACATTTTTATTACTCTCTTGCTATAAATATATAAGAAGATTTTTCAAATTAACTCATGGTAAAAAACAAACATAAAGGCTTCTTTAAAACTTCCGTCTGCAAAACCATTGAAATTCAATATTAACATGCCCCAAAAACTAGAACTAATGAAATAACCAATACAAATATTTACATTAAGTCATCTTCAATAAGTTCAGAACCTGGCCACTTTATGCATCAATTTTTCATTGAATTTCTGAGTTTTATATTTATAATAAACTCAAAACCGGATTTCCATGGAGAGTAGTGAGCTCAAATTAATTGTCGGTGAGTGAGACGAAGATATTTCTTAACAAAATTTTCCAGAGAATGAGAACTTGGGCCGAGGCCATCTCAATTGGGAATATGCCATAAATTTGCAGAAAAATGGAAAACAGAGCAAGGGAAAATACGATTTTACTGTGTAAAATATATTTTTGTGTGTCTTCACTTTTTGGCCCGTAACATCGTCGTCATCGTCATCATCGTCTTGGCCATCATTTATTCATGACAATTTTTGCTTTCACAGCTGCAGCCTGGAAATGCGAAATGAAAATGGAGTCACAACTATGCCGAGTGCTTTGAGGTGAATTTTCCTGCAAATGAAAAACCCACTCATCGATAATGCAGGCGAGAAACCGCAGTAAAATGGGGGTAGAGGAAATATGAAGTAATATTCGTCCCATAAATGAATGAGGAATTTACTTTTTTGGCCAGACAGTATCCGCAGAACAGTAGGAGTTGACTTACAATGGAAAAGATATCCGTTCCAAAAGGTAAATAAAAAGTGCGTATTTTCCATAACTTCAGCTAGCTGACAAGGGGAAGCCCAAAATTCAAACTGTGCAAATGAGTTGGCCACAAAATGTCAGTTACAGACACCTCACCCAATTTTATTTTCCCCTTTCACGAACCGCAAATGCGTCGAAAATTTTGGGGTAGAAAACGACGAGAAGGAGTTGGTTGAAGTTTTCTTTTTCCCATTTCGGGCAAATAAAATCAATCAATTTTTGGTCTGGCAAGTGGCAGTAGCACCAGGGGAAAGCAGCAGCCAAAGCAGCAGTCTAAGTGCTCGTCCGACACTGAAATCTATTTGCCAAGGTGTTGACAAAAAATGTGGTGCCAAAGGGAGGGAAATTGAATAAGTGTAAGGGGGACGGTATGGCTGCTTAAATGCACTTTAAGTAGATCCTCAGATAAGCACGAAGTGACTAAATTGTTACCTAAATCGTTTCAAACGGATTGGTGATTGCCTTTTAAAAAAATTGTCTCCTTAAACATTTTTTGACTTTTATTAAAATTTAAACATATTTTTGATAAACTTGTTCAATGTTATTATGAAAATTGTCTTTTGTATTTAATTTTTTTTTTACGACCAAGGCTTAGAATTCAATACTTAAGGTATCGGTGGAATTCTGTACTCAAACACATATAAAATAATTTTATTGAAATGTTTTGCATACATACAACATCTATTAATTAAACATAGCATTTTTAATTTTGGTTTATTGTATGGCCTAATGCACCTTTAATTTGTTTGGCCTACAGTTCTTCAATTTGTTTGGCAAATAATTTTATTAGCTTTTATTTTAGTGTTAAAAAACAGCTTTCGACCCATGAAATTCATTATTATTACTTTTCAAATTTGTTATCATTGTACATAAAAATAATAATTTATTAAAATTAGCCTAAAAAAGATAAAAATTTCGTACATTTACAAATTGATTTGTATTTTTTTATTTGCAGTGATCCTAACTTTAAAAACATGCTGCAATCTGATATTTTTACCGCTGCTCTAGAGCCTAGTTCCGAGAATTCAAAGCGCTCCCATTGAGACGAGACTCCTTAATAAGTCATCGATTTCCAGGGCAGACGGGACAAACTCACTTTTGAGTTCGGTTCCGTAATTAATAGAATCAACTGGAGAAGCAAACCCTCAAGTGTTGAATGATTTAGCAGCCCCCACTCCAGCCCATCCAGAGTTTTCCTTCCGAAAGCGGCAGGGAATTTTCATTAACAAAAACCGCAATGGGAATGGGAACACACAATTTTCGAGCCCTGTAACGATTTCTGTGTAATTCCCGAAAATAAAAATCAATCAACACGTTCGCTTAATAGACCATCGGCTCTCCGCTCAGATGTAAATGTATCTGCAAGATACATCTTCGGGAATAAGTATTGCACAAAGACAAATTGCTTTTGTCTCTAATTTTAACACGACTTTGACGGGCTCTTCTTCTCTCGACTTTGCTTTAATTTGTTTGCCGTGGGAGTGGAAAAATGTTCACACGGTTAAGGGTTTTTTGTCTACGCTTTTTTTTGTGTATTTCTTGAGTTCTGTTTGGAATTGATTGGCGCACGTTTGCGCGTGGATAAGCAAAAAAAAAAAAAAGAAAAAATAAGTAAATACAAAGGCAGAAACTTTACCCAATAACCAAACAACAAGCGAGAGTAAAAGTAAAAATTTTTTATGGGGGCGCACGAAAAGTGCATTCCGAAAAAATTCACATTTACATTTGGGGTTTTCTCCGCTCTGCTTTATCTTCTTCGGGTTCTTCTGCTGGTTCAATCTTTATTGAATGTCTGCCCGTCGTCTCAAACTTCTTGTTTTTATTTTTTGTTTTTTGGGGCCAGCAGCACTTTGTGGGTGCTTAAAACAGCTGACAGGCCCCACTGACAGATTGATGTATGTTGATTCTCCCATCTCTCCCATTTTCTCTGGTGAATATTTTCCACACTCTTAATGAAAATATTTCTGTTTGTGCTATTTCATTTGACTTTGCGGCCTGTTCAAAGATTTATGTCTTTGCCGGGATTTTCGCCCGTCCTTAACCTGAGTTAATTTTTATTGGAGGGGCTAATAGGGCACGCACCTCGACGTCTCTTAAATCGTTGACAATTGGACTGCTTTTAGGCCGAAATATATTTACGTTTTAGTGGGGGTCTGTTCGACTCGGTGTCTTACAAATTTGGGATTTGTTTGGATGGCGAAAAGGTCAAAATCTGTGTCTTTAAGTCACAGAAAACGAGAATAACAACTAAACGAAAAGTGATCAACGTCGAAGGAAGCTTTATTTTTCTCATTTATTCTCTGGGGAACTTTAAGTATATGCGGGTGGTAAGTGAAACGATTGGGTGAAAAAAGAGGCTTAAAGGTGACATCTCACGTGACTGGATCAACATCTTAATGCTTTGAGAGTGCTTAAGTGTGTAGACAACTTTAGTAAGCACAAAGTTCCTATATTTTTCCATTATAAAAAAATTGAAAAGAAATTAAAATTGTTTTAAGTGTGTTTTTTATTATAATATTAACTATTCCTAATACAATGTTTAGTAAAAATGATTGAAAATAATAAATAAAGTTAAATTATGCAGTTATAGTTGTCATTTAATATGAAATATTTTCCATAAGATATAGGTATATTATACTCATGAAATCTATAATTATTATTTTAAAGAATAATCAAATACATCTATGTAGTTTTAAGACCTTTCTAAAGATCATACTCCCATGATCAACAAAAGCTTTGTTGATTATCAATTCAAACAAATCTTTGTTATCAGTTGAGGAAATGTGAGATTAAGCCTCAGATTTAAGCTACAATCTTAATCTCAATATTGGCTGAGATTAAACCATTTCGACAGTTGTAAATTTATTCAAATCCATTTGCAGTTGCTTGATGTATTCCCGCCAAGGATTTGGCAAATTTTAAACCCATTTTTATCGCACCCAAAGGCAAAAGCAAAACTTGCCAACGCATAAACAAATATGCCAAAAACAGAGCAGAAAAAATATGCGGAAAATCTCGCGCGCCTTCAGTTAAATAAACAAAACAAAGGAAACCCCAAAAAAATGAATTGGTTCCATTTGCTGACCCGAAAAAAGGAGTGAAAAAAGGACAGCCGTCGGAGGTGGGCGGTAGCTTGTTGGGGGCGTGGCGGCTACCCTCATTGTGGGTATTCGTGTTTATCTTTATCTTCCTTTATTTTGGGTGCACTTTTTTACGTTTTGCATAAATATTTTGACAGTCCTCATTTGTTATTGTTATATTTAACATAGCTGGTTTGGATGCACTTACTTTTTGTGTCTTTTTTAAGAGGTTATGATCTTCCTTCCTTCCTAAATGAGCAATTAAGTAAAACACTTTCTTCTAGATCACTTTGTTTTAATTCTGTTTTGAAGGCTGTTTATCAGCTGTTCTCGATCATATTTCGTTTGATATCATTTCGAAAGTTGATTTTTTGAATTCTCAACTGTTACACTAATGCACTTTGCAAACCCACTCATGCACGAGTGGCGTTTTTTGGGGGGTTTTAGTGGGTGGTGTTGTTTGATTTATATTTTTTTTTGTTAACCGGTCACACTCACGCACACTCACACACAGATAACACTGAGGGCAATAGTACCGTTAATCCAAGCGTCCGTGACCTGCGATCCGTTACAATGCTCGCGTCGAAAAAGACTGAACGTATCTTTCGGATACATTCGCTTGGCAGTTTTTTCGTTTGTAGCATAAATGTCAAACAGCCACGAACATGTTGGCCCGAACATGTTGCAGGAGCCTATGTTGTGCGGAAGTATCTTCCTGATTGGCTGGATTTACTTCGCGACCAAGCATAGTTTCCGGTTACAAACATTTCATCGTTTCAAAAATCGAGTGAAAACGAAATAAAATGAGTATGTAAATTACAATTATTTTTGAAAAGATCCGTGAACGCAGCTCCTAAACGTAAGGGTTTAAGTTACACGTTTTTCTTCAATTTTAAATTTTTATTCACATTTCGGATACAAAAAACAAAAACAAACTTTCAATTAAATAACGCGTTGAGTCAAATCTAAATCCAAAATTTTTACGAAATTTTTTGTATTTATAAAACTTTTATAAAACTGTCTTGATTATTAAACGTATATTTTTTGTAATTTCGGAAGTAGAACCGAAGCCAACACGAAGGCAGCCGAAAACTCACAAACTGGCGCCCTCTAGTGCATTTTCTTTGCAACATCAGTCTTATACGCACTTAGCAGCGTTCTAACAGCACTAGTTTGATGAGAGCGGTTCGAAGAGGAGAATCGGTTCGAGGTTGCAGTGCGCTCAAAACGAGTTCGATGACAGCAAAATGGTTGCAACTCCAACCGAGTACGTGGGTGTGTGCGTAGGTCAGGGATAATTAGGATAACAAATTCCGCAAAACGAGCTATACATCAATTTTGTTGTAATAGTCTGATTAAATCTACTTTTAATTTAATCTTATTAATTGTTATATATAGATATTCAAACAAATATATACCCTATTCTTAAAAGGCTCAGTCGATCAAGAATGAACATGACCAACAAAAATATTCTTCCTGCCGTTTTATGACCTCTTACTGATAAGCAGGTACCGATCTTCTAAGGTATAGGGATATGTGACTATTAATAGGTAGAAAAATAGATTATTACCCAAAACGTTTGGTCCAAAAATATCAAAGGCGATCAAATTCAATAGGAACCTTTAAATGAATAAGACAATTTGTTCATAAAATTAATTGTTTAATATATACATACAAAATATTGAAAGCTTAAATGCAATGCGTGCTTATTAAGAAAATAAGTAATTTTTATTAAACGAAATATAAGATAAGGAATAAAACTCTAGCACCTAATAAACAGAATACCATCGTCACACATCGGTGCATAAACTAACCCACTTTATGGAGCACCTTCGTATCCTATAACTTGAAAACTAAGGCGATTGCCATCTTGCCCCCGAATTCCCCATTGAGAAATGCCGCAGGAAAATCTCCTGACCATACCTACTTATAATGTAAATAGCAGCACGCCCATAAAATAATTTGCCCCGACTTACAAATAACCCAAGAAAGAGGCAGCAACAAATTTAACACTTAATTGTATTAGCAGGCACAGACATACAGAAAGGGAGGGATATGTATGAAGGGCATGGGGTAATCCCAGGCAAAACCAAATCCGGACGCGTGTCCAGTTTGTTGTTGTTTGCTTAGACAGTTTAGGGCCCGCACAAAGGACCAATACAAAAAGGGGCTATAAGGCCAAGAAAACAAAACCGAGAGGGCAGAGATTGAAACGGGGAAAGATAGGGAGGTGCGCCCCGGTTTGATTGATGATTTTATGACATTGTTTACTCAAGTGATGATGAGAAGAGTAAGCAGATAGCCAGCCGGCCATCCTTTGTGTCCTTTCAAGCCGGTGTCGAGTGAGACTCGCTCCTCGGTCTCGGACTCGGACCCTCCTAATAATTCCCCAGCGCCCACACCACACTCTCCCTTTTTTATGGCTCTTCCCCGGAATGCTATCAATCTTTTGCTTATTAGGGATAATATTACAATTACTTGTAAGTGAGATAAGCCCCAGGGCAGCGCAGAGTCCTTAGTCGAAGTCAGGGTTCGGGATTCGGGTTTATCCGGGGCTCGCCTTGGGTTAAGTGTTCAAGTGTTCGCTTTGATCTCGGGATGAGTGCGAGTGTGTTGTGTGTAAACAGATATCGGTTCAAGTGAAGAAGCCAAATGATTGACAAGATAGTGCAGGAGAGGGTCTTCCCATTCGAGGAAGAACAAATTCGAGGCGCCTATGCTGATTGTTCTGACTAAAACATGCCGCCAAACAGATTTAATTACATTCCGGGCACTCATTCAATCCCACCTAAAGCAAAAAATTATTAAGTTTTCTTTATTAAAAAACATTGCATTGATCGCCAATTAATTCTTATCATTTTTAATACAAACATTTCAATAGAAACATTCATTCATAAATACAAAATTCTTTAATTTGTCAGTATAGAAACCTTATTATTTGATTTCTAGTTTAAACTTAGGGAAAGTTTTATAAATGTTTAATGTTCTTTATTCCATTGGTGTATACATTAATCATTTTGAATTATTTTTCTATTTCCTTTTCTAACATTAGTGATCTCATTCTTCACACACCGTTCTCTTCCATTTTCTAAGCCTCCGAAAATAATGAAACTAGTAGCACCTTTTCGGGCTCCTCTCACCTGTCTCATCTCAATTCAACCTGTTTCAATTTAGTCATAAACTCTGGCATATATACCTGCAGCCAGAAACACCCGCAGGTTTCAGTTGAGCGTTGTGTTTTGTGTTCCGTCGGTTTGGTTAGGAAGCCAGCTGGTTCCATGGTCACTACACCGCCGCATGTCCTTTATCCTTTTGTCCTGGCCTGGTTTGATGATAAATTAGACGAAGAGACATGAGACGAGGGCAGGGCAGACAGCATTTGCGGCTCTTTAGTTGGCCTAACCGGCGTTTACCTTTCTTTCGCCTTTCTTTTTCTGCTCCCCTCTTTTTTATTGCTATATTATGGCCTTCGAGACAGAGTACTGTCTTGTGCCAGGAATCGCCATCAAACTGGATGTGTTTCGTTTGTGTTTGAGTAGAAGTAACGGAGCCGATGAGTGGTTACATCACCGGTTAATGGCCCAGGTAATTGCCCAGTAAATTTGTCATTCGTGTTCTGTCGTATTGCAATAATTATTATGTATTTTTTGTAATTCTTATCAGCTTGGTCTCAAAGTGTTATTTTCTATATTTACAATTTAAGTTGAAAAGCAACTGTTTTGTTTCAAAAGTTGGGTATAACATTTAAATAACAAGAATAAGTAAAAATAAATTTGTACAAAGCGTTTTACTTGTTATAATGTTTCTGCATCTAAAACTTAAAGTAGGGTTTGTTTAACTAGTTTTTGAAATAGACTGTAATAATGATTTATTTTTACAAAGTTATTTGGAATAACGTGGATTCATTTGAAAGGATAAATTTCAAATTGAAGCCGGAAAAACTGATCCCCATGACACGTGTCAAGGAGCGACAAACCCTAGGCGTATTCCCCATTTGTTCTCGATTTCTCATCAGCTGCTGCTGTTCTCCCCAGCAATAAAAAAAAGATCAACCTTGAACCGCACAACAATAAAAATTAAAACACGTTTTCGATCCGTGGAAGGACTTCTCTTTTTCCGAAACGGGGATGGATTTGGTATTTGAACACATGTCAAGCTGTCAATGTTTATCTATTTTGGGGAAGGTGCCTATCTCTTCTCTCTCCTTTTCTCCTTCAACTCTCCACGTGAAGTGGCAGCCGTGAATTGAGGATTATCGGGCGTCTTGTTGATTTATGGCCAGGCAAACACCCACAAAATGTACCAAAATTCGAGTCAAAATGTGATTGAAAACTGATAAGCCACATAGGATTGCCTCTGGCTTCGAGGGGGGCGGGGGGTGTGGATATATACGAAGGTGTAAAGGGGGCTGAAAGGGGTTGTAAAGGGGGTTATTAGTGTAACTGTCAGCTGGGCGAAAGTGTTGAGTGCACGTCCATCAAACTTGGTCTGCGGTCAGTGGACTGGGATTTAGATTGGGGAATTCACAGGGAGGCATTGCGATATTCCCCATGTTTTGTCCAGACTGTACACAGGCAAACAAATTTCTTTGAAATCGCAATATTCCATTTCTTTAACTCTTGATATAATAAGAAAACAAATTTTAATTTTATATAGATCTTGGCAAAAGGAAAATATTGAAAAAATTTAAAAAATTCGACTGATAATAATTTAATAGCTAAAAAATTAACTCTTATCTTAAAATTTAAAATAGACTTTATTTTTAGTTTTATAATTATTTATAATTTCATTGCTTAAAATATTTTGATTTCGTAATAAGAATTTAAACAGCGAGTGAACACTTAAATAGTTATAAGAACCTTGAATTAAATGTTATTATTGGCAGTAAATTATAAATTCAAATGTGTGCATTAAAAATTTGAATATACTGCATAATATTTTTAAATAGGACAGTAGCAATCATAAATTTTATAAGTAAAAAACTATAAAAAAATTTCTAGAACTCTTAAAATAATAAATAAATAATAGATCAGAAAAATAATAGATTAAGGTAATACACAATAAATAAGTGTATTGTGTTGTTCATAGTTTTCCCGTGCACCGAGTGGGTTAGGAATGCTGATGCCTTAATTTACCACTAATTTGTGCTTATCTCGCCGCAGTCCCCTGACAACTTTGTGCCACATGCTACGCCCGACTTGGGCGGCAGCTGGAGCTGCTTCAGAGGCCTGGGAACGGGGAGTTCCGTGGGGAAGCCCCACTTGCAACCGATGCAAATCGCTTTAGCAACGCCTGTTTATGGGAAATTGCGCTCGGCTAGGCAATCTGGAAGCCGACCAAGCCCCAAGCCTGAAACCGGACATCACTCAAGCATTTATCAAGCATTAGCATTTGGGTTCTGGGAACAAAGACGACAGCCCCTTATATAGAACTTGTTGGCAATTGCGGCAGGTGATGGGAAAGTAAATTTAAACTTTTAAAAGCAATATATGTCCAACGCCAAAAATATATTTGATTGTCGATAGCTATTTAAGGCCTTTTCCAAGAAATTGTATAATGTATTTTTTTCAACGATTTTACAAATTTATACGACTTTGGGAAATTTTTGCAAATAAAAAATCTAATAAAAAGTTTATTGATAACTTTTACTTTTTCTTATCACGTACAGGTCAAAACTTGAATTACACATAAACCTCAAAACAGTAAAAGCTCAATTCGCACAGATAAGACGAAAATGTCATGAATTATTTGTTTTTATACATTTGCATTATAATTAAGATGATTCAATGCGAAACATACTTTTTAAGATCTTAGAACAATGGTATACATACACACATGTATATATTGAAGCTGATAATGATAATATAAAGCTAATGAGGTCTGCTGCTTATAAAATAGCTAGCCTATCTGTCTTTAAGTCAATCAATTTTCGGTCGCAGACATGGGACATTTCTGGACAACCGCAGCTCTTATTTTAAGCTGCATCCTTTTGGGTGAAGCCTGTAATTCCTGTGTTTCTAGAGAAGTCTGCTTAAAAAGTGACGACATAAATTCTGTGAGATGTGCTCCCCATCTAGTCTGTTGTGAAATTCTCCACGAAGTAAGTTTATTGAGATACCATGTGAGCTTAGATTAATAGCTAACCACTTTTGATTATTCGCAGTATTTTACATGGGATTTGACTGGAAATAATAATGAGCCAGAAGTAAGTTTTTATACCCTTGCGAAGGTTTTAGAATTAGTTCAAAAGTGAAAATGAAACGGGACGGGCCGGATCGGCTGACTATATCATACAGCTTAGCAATCGCGAATAAAAATACAGATATTTTTTAGGCTATCAAAATTACGGCTTTACATTTATACGAATACAAAAAATTAAAAGCACCGAAATCGAAATATAATATAATCCATTTTTGTTTGCTTATTTTCTTGTTAAAACTAACTTTTGTGCAAAATACTTCAAGTTAACTGTTTTTGATGATTCGCAGAGATCAACAACAGCGGAGCCAATAATACCCTACCCAGGATTCAGGACATTCAGAACAGAGGAAGGACTGAGCATTCCATTCGGATTATCAACAGACGGCCTGAGCAATCCAAACGGTTTGGATGCCACCAAGTATATGACCAATGAGCAATCAAGGCCCGGACAGTTTCCCTGGGTGATGGCTCTGTTCGACACAGATAAGTACTTTGCGGGCGGTTCCCTGATTAGATCAGATGTTGTCCTCACAGCTGCCCACAAGCTAAGGAACAAGTACGCCAATCAAATAGTGGTCAGAGCTGGCGAATGGGACATGGGCTGCCAAACAGAGAGTTTTAGTCATGATGAACGTGAAGTATACGAGATAACGCTCCACGAAAACTTCGAATTTAAAACTGGTGCCAACAACGTAGCGCTTCTCTTCCTAACCAGGCCTTTTGTTTTAAACAATCACATCAGAATCATCCCGATCCCGGAGCCAGGAAATTCGTACGATGGACGTCGCTGCACGGTTGCCGGTTGGGGTAAGACAAAGGAAAGTGATCTAGATAACTCCAGCATTCTCAAGAAAGTCGAGCTACCAATGCTGAGGAGAGACCAATGTGAGGAACAGTTGAGGAGAACGAGGTTGGGCTGGAACTTTAAGCTGCCTGAGAGTTTTGTTTGCGCCGGAGGTGAACCTGGCAAGGATGCCTGCGTAGGAGATGGAGGATCTCCTTTATTCTGCGCCAAGGGACAATCAGATCGCTACGAGCAGGTCGGCATCGTAACCTGGGGCATGGGATGTGGAGTGGGTGGTGTTCCCGCAACTTACACGAATGTGGCTATGTTCAACGAGTGGATTACCGAAAAAATGCTACCTTTTGTCTACAGAAAAGGACAGGCAACGGTTTCACCAGTACGCTAATATAAGGTCTTTGCACTAGCAGACAGACAGATAACCTCAGATGTTATCTCTAAAAAAATAAAACAAATTCTAATAAATATTGTTTTTGGAATTTTTTTGTTCTTAATTTATATTTGATGAATAAATGTTATGGGCTTTGCTTGAAAGCTTTTTATTGTGGTTATGGAAGTGCCCCATTAAGCCCCATTTAATTAAATGTCCTTCTGAGATTTGAGAAAGAAACGAGGAGTCCAAGCATGTTCCACTTAAAGTAAACGATTTGCAAACACTTAAATGTATTTAAGCCATTAAGTGTCTTTGTTTAGTTTTCTGTGTAAGCCTTTTAATCAACTTTATTAATATTAATAAGCCGGAAAGCAGGCAAAAAGGAGATGCGAGAAACAATGCTAAAACATTCGTCAACAATTATACAATTACACTCCAGGCCAAATTGCCCGAAGAGAAGCTGAGAAACGGAGCTCTTAATGGTAATTCACTTAAATAATCATTAGTCAAACAATTTCAGGGGCCAACAACAAGTACAGCAACCCTTTCCCCAGCAACCGCAAAAAGTGGAATAATGTGGGGAATAATGTATTCTTTTTGTTCCTCTTGTTGTTGTGGTTCTTATTTATAGCTCGAAATTCGGCCAGGAATTGTATTTTATGCTCTCGGGGGTTGCTTCCTGGTCCTGAGCTTTGGTTTTGTATTGGGTTGGGTTTTACTCTTGCAAAAGCCACTTCAATTGAAATTCAAGTGCTCACTTCATTACCACTTAATTTCTGACGCTGCGACGCGTTGGACCCAATCAAAAAGTAAGAGGGGTTTCCTTTAGGAATAGCAAGATTGGAATCGTATATGTACATTTAAAAATAGCAAACTCACAGTGTGCATTTTAACAAACAAATCAGTTGAGATGTTTCATTTTTTTTTTCATTATTACAGCTTTTACAAAAATTAACAATCATTTTTCAGAAAGTTAGGACAGTCCTCAGGTCAAATTTTATTTTTTTCCTAATTATAGCTTCTACAAAAATTAACAATCATTTTTCAGAAAGTTAGGACAATCCTCATGTCAAATTTTATTTGGGTGCAGCACATATCAAAAACCTTACTTGCAATCATTTTGCCAGGAGTAACCAAATACGCTATTTCTCAGCTTTCTTTGGGCAGCAATTATTCAATTATTTGGAAAAGCCATAACCAACCCCAGAAGACCCGGACAATAGCTCTTTTGTTCTCATTATCATCAACTTTGGCCTCAAACCGATTCCTGGCAGCCAGACAAACACTTTTCCTTTCCTCGATTGTGTGCATTCGCCTGCCCGCTTCCCGTTTCCACCTCCCACTCCCACTCCCCCATCTGCGGCCCCTCTCAAGGACACACACACACACACATGGGCTGACTAACCACAACCACGCCCACAGCTGTAACCGCCTCCTCCCCCGCTTTTCCAGGACCAAAGGCACGCGACATACCAAATGACTCAGCAATCGAAAAGTTCAACAAACCTGGGACTGACCATAAACTATAACAACAAAAAAACGAAGGGAAGAATGGTAAGGCAGGAATCTAAATAGTGGCAAACATGCATTGGGAATTGACATTTATGACCCGGCATAAAAACCATATTTGTGCCGACCTGGCCATGTGTTGTGGGCCAGCTTGACTTTCGGCTTGGCTTGATTCCTTGTCCTGGTCACGCGTCTGTCTGAATTTTCCTCCCCTGGTTTTCTTGCCAGACAATTGCCGATGAAAGTGAAAAATATACCCAAGCATAATCAGCAAATATGAGTTTTATTCGAAATTACAGATATCCTGGAATATTTTAGGAACTAAGGTATACTTAAAATATAATCATATTCAATAGGATTTAAAAAAGAGGATTAAAAAAAGTTATTTTTTCTTTTAATTCCATCACCAACCTTTAATTTGAATCAATTTTTTATTTATATGCCCTATTAAAACGTTTATAAAATGTAAGACCAATGTAAAAACATTGGTAATCGTATTTTTGGTAAGACTAATTATCTAAGTGAAAAGGTTAATTATTATTAAATAAGCATAACAAAAAAATGTTTATAAGGTTCAAGAAGTCCCAAGATCAAAGGATTTCCCTCCTAAAAAAAATTATTTTTTGTCAATACCCAATATACCCTAAATGTAAAATAGGGAACCAAGAAAAAAACTGCAACACAATTCATATTTAAACAGGGTCACAACAATGGAACTGAGCTGAAAAACCGAAGGCAGACTAACTGCAAATTGTGTGGGTGACTGACTGAAGCCTGGAATAAGGAGGGAGCGAGTGGGAGGAGAACAGGGCGAGAAAGGGAGGGAGCATGTGACGTGCCGACAGGGTGTGTTATGTCCCTGTCCCCATCCCCCACCATCACCCCTCTCTCTCACTCTTCCTCTCCCTCTTTCGCTGTTGTTGTCATGCCATTGCAGACTTAATTAATTTCAGCACGCAAAAAGCTGCAACTGCCACTCAAAAGTTATTCATAATAATCCAAATGATTCATGACAATAAAATGCACAAATTGAACCGTAATTTTTTCTCGACTTTTCTCATTGTGGTTTTCACTTGTAAATGCATAAAAAGTGGTTAAAGTAAATTAGCAGACACTGTTTCGTTCTTACATATATAATTTTTTAACGTTTATTTCACCCGCTTCCTAAAGCATGAATTCAAAAAAGTTCTTATACTCAATTTTTTTCATTAATAATTTAAATTATAAAATATTTTTCTGTAGCTTGAACAAATATTATTATTTTATTATTATATTATTATCAATTATTTTTAATCAAGTTCAACGGAAAACCTATAAACATATTTTAAGTCTGTGTTTGTTACTTTCTTGTTATTCTATTTTTAAATATTCTGATAAGAGTTATAGCTATGGGAATTTCTCATAAAAATGGTTGTTATCTCGACAAAACACACTCTTCACTCTTATTTTAAAAATTGTTTTTAAGCTGTCATCAATACAGCGTGAAGTAAAATGATAGTCTACACTTTAGCCAGCGTTTTCGTCCATCATTTCGTATTACACAACATGTGCAAAATTATAAAAAAAAAACCCAAAAAAACCGATCCACTGAGAAGAGGGAGCACATTTTTACGGTAATTTAGTGCAGAGGCTTGACCAGACCCAAAAAAAAAAAAAGGTGTTCAACACCCGACATTTGTTCAGCTTCGGTAGCGACGGCAGCTGCCACTGAAATTAAATCCTCCAATCAATTTAAAACGCAACGAAAATAAGAGAAAAACGTTAAATCCACGAGGGGAACCGGTTCTTATGCAAAGCAGCTTGCATGGGATTCCCCCATTTCCCGCTGACCTGTCTCCTGCCGCCAGTCTCCCTTTTTGCGGATACCCGGTCTCAATGTCTCTGTCCCGGTGCAAAAGGTGTTCGTGTGTCGACAACGGCAACGGCAACAATAAAAACCAATCATGGCCAACAACAAGCAGAACAACAATCGGCAACTGGAGTCGGAATACATTTGTGCACCTGATGATCCGTGGCCAAGACGCGTGCCAAATGTGACAACAAAGGATTTGAATGCACATCGATGGTTGTCTGCAGCAAAAACGGGGGGCAAACCCACAAACGAGGTAGTGAAGTTGGCGCGGAAAGAAAACTTAAAGAAGGGGGGGTTCATGTTCGGTACATATGTCTGACTGAAATGGAAAGTCGAACCTCAGCAGCAGGTTTCCCCATTCAATAAAAATAAAAGCGATAAAACCACACCAAACTGTCACAGAAACTTAAGTGGAGTATACAAGCAATGGAATTTAAATTCAACAGTATAAGTTAATTGTTTGTGCAATTTCCATTTTAATTCTAAGAGTTTCATATTCAAAAGTTTTAGTACTTCCGGAAATCGTCTTTATAATTTTTAGTTTATCTACTTGAAAAAAGCTTAAAGTAGATGATAACCATTTTCCATGTTTAATTTTACGAAACCATTTCTCTTTATGTTTTAGGTATCAAATTTTTTATTTCCCGTTTTTAACCATTACTAACTTACTGTAATTGTTACTAAAAAATAAACTTAAAAAGCAGTTTAAATTGTTTCCATTTGTAATTATAATTCTATAAATGAACTAAAGAATGCTTTCCGTTTCACTTTCTATACATTTATTTGAAATTTGAATAACATTTAATTTTCCATTTCAATTTAATTAGTTTCGATTGACAGTTTGTCTGCTTGAATAATTGCTCTGAATTTATAGAAAAAGTCGATTTAAATTAAGCCTACATATTGGCTTTGTATACATTTATTAACTTTTTCAGTTGTAAGCAATTAGTATGCTTCAGTTTTAAGCTAAACGTTTATAAATGTAATTTATTGACATAAAAAAAGCAAATTAGAAAAGTGGTTATTAAAAAAAACAGTGTATATTTGTATATTAAAAAGGCCAATAAATATGCATACTAAAAATGAACACATTTCTAAATGTTTTTAAGCTTCTTAAATACATAATTTTGTATTAAATCCTTTCCACACTAATTGTAAAAAAATATACCCATACATAAAATAAAAGAAGAAAAATATTTTCAATTTGTGCAAGTTAATTAAGGAAATTTGTTTTTGTTTTTGCAATGGTTATGACAATATCCGAAATTAATTAATCTGTTTGGGTTTCAATTAATTGCGTTCGCTACCTTTTGGCGGCCTACCTGGATATTGTAATAATATTAAAATACATTACGTATGCACGGCTAGCAGCGATTTGGAGTGAAAAGTTTGCAACATTAACGAACCATTAACAAGTTGAGGCCAATAAATTTTTATTATGGCCAATTAAAAGCAAATAAAATCGGCAACAAGGCGGCATAAAAAATGAGCACAAATGCCCAACAAATTTCGATTAGTCGAGCGGGGCGAAAAGTTTTGTGTGGGTTTGTGTTTTTTGGTTTTGTCGTTCTGCCGGCCACGCCCACTTACCCCACTACCACCCCACCCCGCCCCTCTGGACCCAAGCTCATCAACTCCACTTACACATTTGCGC